ACTGATCTACACTATGTGAAATAAATTCTGTTTTAAAGAGAAGGCCATCAATATTTCTGTAAAACAGCCATAAATTCCTGCACAACTGCAAACATGCAGAAAAAAGATCCCAAACATCTTTTAATAACTTTTGTTTCATGTTTCATTTCAATATAAAATATTAATATGAAATTTTGCACCCTAGGATCTTCTAATGCAAAGTGTAGGAGTCAGAAGCTCCTCTGTTTCTCACTTGTCAATCACTTTTTAATTTAACTCCTCACTCTTAAAACCTCGCCTCCCAATTAATCCATTCCAATTTCATAAAAAGCTCAGGAATGCAGTCATGTTCTGGCATATTTTTCGTCGCTTCCATCAGTTTTGTACTCTGTGCTGAACTCAGTTTCTGCAGTCACCATCCAAAGTTCCCGTCTGAACGAGTACGCCGCTGTCTAAATTTCTGATTTTACTCCCTCATATTACACAACATCATTATGCAACAAAGATATCCAATTCCCTTTGGTTTCTATTATTATGTCTTCTGGAATGGACACCATTTTCAGCCTCAAAGAATAAGTCGGATACAGCGGCACTGGGGGGTCAATAAAATCCCGATGGTGGCTGGGACCATGCGATTGAAGCCCCAACCATTTTTTCTGTGTGTCACATGGGGCAGGACTTCAATCACATGGATGTGGCCACCATCTTTATGTTTTTGACCCGACTATCCCACTCCCGGTATGATCGTTTGGGTGCACGCCCAGCTTCCTCTCCATCGTGATGAGGAAGAAGGCATGGAAAAGAGCATTCTCATTCAGGATTATATTTCAGTGAAGATCACCCCTCTATGATCGGCCCTGAGAAAGCTGAGATGGTGCCACCAATGACACAGGAGTGTGTGCGTGCATGTGGGAGGAATCCAGGGGTAAAGGCAGCTGCAGCAGGACTCAACGGAGAACGCATGCGCTGTGAGTGCCCCAACAACAAGCTGCTCCCCCCGATGTACAGTAAAGGGAACAGATCTCTTTCACTAAAGTACAGTGGTACCTCGGGTCACGAACGCTTCTGTTCATGACCAATTCGGGTCACGAA